CTCCCGTTACTGCTACTGGGACCGCCCCGGTTACCGCTTTCTCGACAACGCACCTCACCACACTCAGCTGGAATGTCTGCAGATGCACTCTCAGAAGCACTTGCCAAGGCTGGTGAAGAAGGACCATACATCCTGGTTTCTGCTGGCACTGGCAGCATCGTCTCCCGCATCTTCAGCTCCCGTCATCTCAAGCAAGTCGTCGGCCTCATGATGATCGACCCTCTCCACGAAGATCTCCTGCACCGCATCGGCAGCCCAGGACGCGGTTTCCTTCTCTGGGCCTGGGGTATCATCTCTCCCCTCGGCACCGTCCGCCTCGCCGGCGCCCTCTTCAAAGGCCGCACCCGCGAAGACCGTGTCTACGGCCGCAACGCCTACCAATCCGGCAAATACATCAAAGCTCAACTCCAAGAGAACTTAGTCGCAGATTCGCTCTCCAAAAACGAAGTCTCGGCCGCCAGAAACATTCAGAGCGCAAACACGCCCCTCGTCATTATCTCAAGTGGCATTGAAGTCAAGCGCGACTCAGAATGGGAGCGCAAGCAAAAGGACCTCACTACCCTGACTGACAAACTTGTTAGCTGGGACATCGTCAACAAGGCGCCACATCAGGTGTGGGATACTCTTGATGGACGTATGGTTATGGAGAAGAGGCTTAAGCAATTGGTCAAGGCTTCTCTAAAGGTCAAGTCTGAGGAGGTGCAGGACGCTTCCACCGAGGAGTAAGACTGAGTCAGGAGAGGAAGGGACACATGATGCAGTATCGCGGTCCAGATTGAAAGCGAAAAGAGCCGTATGTAATGCTAGTAACTTAATATCTCTTTAATGTCAAGTTCTTTTTCTGATTCTAGCTTTTACTTTCGGGTATGTACTTTCTTGGTATTATGCATAAAATTTCAGTGTAATACGACTAAGTCGAAAACTACCAAGACTGACTTCATTCTATCCCTCGCTGTAGAATCAAATTCGTGAGATTTCTTAGGGTAAACAATAACGTGCTTGAGAGTAAGTAGGAGTTGAATCATCGTCCGATCAATGGATAGAATTCATGCTCTTTAACTGTCTCATATCCGAGCACTAGTCCAATCGACTATATCTTCACCCAGAGCACCAACAATCCAGCACAACATCCCCCCTCTAACCCATTTATCATACTTCTACTCCATTCAGTAAGACGCAAACCACCTTAAACCTCTCAACCTATCCGCTCGTCGCTATCGCTAGTTGGGCAACTGAATAATCAGAGTCCGCAACAATCAATTAGATCGGCATGATTGACTCCTACCTAGGTTAGTGATTACTTGATTAGGAAAGTGCTATACTTAGATAGGAATCAATCATGCCGATCTAATTGATTCTTGCGGACTCTGTGAATAATGCAATACTAATTCCACGTTAGCAATTACGAATATCAACGTGTCATAAAAGCCCATACCGTATCGCCAGTGTTTTCATCATAAGTGCAACTGCCGTCCTTGCCATTCTCCCATTCATAGCCACAGGTGCAAGGTTCATTAAAGCGGCTGCACGTGTCGGTGCGGCAACTAGTGTTGTCCCCGTAGACAGCAGGGACGGTGAAGGCAAGGAAGCCTAATAGGTAGAGGAGAGATTTCATGCTTGGTAGAAAATAAGGGTGTGTTTGATACAATAAAGGGGTCGTGTCTGTTCGTGGGATGTGGAGTAGAAGGTGGTGTTGTTCGAGATCGCGGATGGCATGGAGACAAGGAGCCCAAGGAAAAATATATGTAAGATATGCTATAGCCCCCTGAACGTAGATCTCTCGCCTCTCCTTCTATAATGACACGTCGTTGCGGTTAGAGCGTGCGGGATATACGCTGACACCGTATATTAGAGTGTAAGACGGAAGATACCGCATCTTGGTGTATACGGCCGGATGTGGCGTATTGTATGCTCGCATATACGAATACGATGTGATACAACGGATGTTCGCATATACGATGAAGATCAACTTTTCGGTTGTGTGTGTTTATACTTTACTTCTTTTCAGACCAAGTTTTATTATGCTTACTGTCGGATCGTGAGTATCGGTAGGGACGTCGACTGCTCAACACTTCGGCCCGACTTCGGCCCACCTTGCGCTGAGCTTAGGTATACCTTCGTAGCAGCTATGTTCGTAGACAATCAATAAGAACCATCACCGAACAGAATGCATTCCTAGTTATCGTTATTCCCTTTAAGCACTTAGTGCAAAGCCAACCAACACTTACACACCGCATCGGCGTTGTAGATGGGATTTTGTTGGGCAGTTTCTTCTTTTTCCTTTCACTTTCTAAATACGTGTATGATAGAATATAGCATTAAGGTTTAAATATATGAGATAAATGAATATGTATGAACGTATGAAGTGCAAAATCTATCCGCTTCTAAAGATATGGAATCACGTGTCGAATGAAGCCTTAACTCAGTTGGATCTTAAACTTCAAGGTTGGTACTCAACTCAACGAAAAAAAGCTATGACAACCATCAACAGTATAGAGGAGAGAATCGGGAAAGAGGACCAAAAAGAGCCCAAGATGATAGGTGCAATAAGAAGCATTCATCACATGATTCTTACAAGAGCTCTACCGAACTTTTTCCACACTTACCTTAGGTGCAGCTGTTTCTGCAGCTTAGGTCTGCCAAGATGTCAACCAAGAACAGCACACCATAGATACACTACATAGCTTCATTCCTTAACATGTGTGTGTGTGTGTGTGTGCTAACAAAACGTGATTTATGACTTATTATTCGTTATTCGTCATCGTATCTGTCACTATCTTGCTAAATCGTATGAACCACTCCAACCATCGAGCTTATATCCATGTACGGTGACTAACCCGAAGGAAATGCCTCGTGTATCTGTCTTTTTGTAGCGGTCTTGGTACGCGAAAAAGGAAACATGTCGCCTATGAAAACAAACAGGAAAATTCAACAATCCGCTCAGCGCATGTTGCTATGCAAGGCAATGCAATGGCTAGTTATACAATTTCGAAAAAAAGGAAATGGGCGTCTCTCGGGGTGAGAGAAGTATGCTTCAGGGTAATGCGTGTGCGTGCGGGACTTCGGAGATGCGGCGAGGGTGCAAGAGGCACGAGAGATTCTACGCCTCGGTTTCTTGCTTGCGACGACGGAGGCTGCCAAAGCGCTTCTTGAGGGCACCGCCTACGCTCTTGCCGGTAGTGTTGCTGCGGTTGACACCGGATGCCTCCGTTGCGACAGTGGGGACAATGCCAGGTGCGTCGACGTCACCGGCGCTATGGGTGCGATGGCGTGATTTCATTTCTATGCCACTGTCACCAGATCGCTTGTGGTCCTTTAGAGCCTTCTCGATGGTGTACGAGGGCTCGCCCTTGCCCTTGAGGTCATTTGGGTGGTATTCCTAGATAGCGTTAGTTATGCTCGAATAAAGAAAACTGGTTGAGAACATACCACTCCAGGCCAGCGACGGTAGTCACCGCCAGGCTCTCGCTGCAGGTCGGCTCCCTCTTCATAATTGAGAACCCTTCCGAAACGATCAGCCATGCCAGGGGGGATGTTAGCCACGCCCTCCAAAGGTCGGTGCCTCTGCACAGAGTCTATGATGTTCTCTCGTGGAGTAGCCCTTAGAGCCTCCTCGTTAGAGTCCTTTACCGCCGCAAGAGGGCTATACTTAGTGTCCCTGTTTCGAGCGATGCTAGCGGCGTCGTAAGGGCCTTCGTGGTGGTATCGGCCAAAGCTTGCCCTGTCGAGGCGATCGATGACGTCGGCGCCTTGGAAATTCTTCTTCCTAAGATGGGGAGCACGGTGAGCAACTTTCTCATCATGACGAATTATGTCAAGAGGTCTGTGAGACTTGTCACCGGGAAAGCGCTCCTTCAAGGAATTTCCGCGAGGTCGAGACTTGTTCAAGGAAGATGGGGCGGGGTTGCTAGATCGTCGAGGCCGGCTTTCGTTGAGGGATCCGAAGGCATCCGCACGGTAGTTGTCGTTGAAACGGGCACGTCTAGGGCTGGCAGAGTTGGGAGGGGAGGGGTAACCATACCTCCTGCTCTGCGGTGAAGCCTGCCCAGCCTGTGCGTCCTTTGAATCAGACGAAGCCCTGGAGCGGCGGAACGGGTTGGTTTCCACGGAGCTGCCGGTTTTCTGCACACTAACGGATGGAAGGCCCTTGGGGTTGCCGCCGGATCCGGGTGGGGTGAGCGGAGCCGCGGGCGCGAATGTGGAACGGAAGTGCGAGTTGAGTCCAGTCTCGTCGCTTGGGTCCGGCTCAATGAGCGGGTCTATGATTGCGTGGTGAGCCTGAAAAGTTAGCCATGATGTCTGTTGTTTGGAGTAAACGCGGTTTGAGACAATGTGGGCGAGGCTGTCCCGGCGCACGTGGGACCATATACTCGGAACAAGATATACGAGGGATGAAAGATGAAACATACCTTTTCCATGATGCTCGTCTTGTGTTGCTGGTGGTGTATGTGTCAAAGTGCGATTGCGAGTATAAAAAGACAAGTCGAGGACTGTCAGGCAAGTGTCAGGTGGTAATGAGGAAAGAAAGAGCAGGTGACGAGAGGGGAAGCGGCCATGATAAAGGCATGACTTGGCAGGCACCGTGGGTGCAGGCCGCGTCAGATGTCATGGCTGCGCAGTCTAGAGTCTAGAGCCCTGCAACGGTTCTGCTTGTTCGCGCGCTGGTGGTACTCCTGGGCAGTGGGCAGCCCAATAGTAGCCCTACGTCACTTGCGGATGCGCTAGGCTGAAAGTGGGGCGGCCGCCGCTTGGTCTTATCCACGGGTGACGACAGCTACGATGATCTCTCACCACCCGAGCTACGAGCGACATGCCGCCCACCATGCCCCTGGTGGATTATCCAGATTCAGGCTCCGATGATGATGGTGGTGGTGTTGATAGCAACTCTGTGCCCGCTGCCCAGTCGGCCCAAGCCCTGAAGCGCAAGCACAGCCACTCTGCAAACGCCATTGCTGCCCTGCCACCGCTCCCATCTGCATTCCACGACCTGTACGCGTCCAACGCGCGCATCAGCACTAGCGATAATCCAAGCCTACACGGCGGCCGCAAACGGGCTGTACCTCACGTCGAGGGCAATTGGCCCAGTCATGTTTATTTAGAGTGTAAGGTTGCTTCTTCTGCATGTCCGGTAGGTTGCACCATGGGCTAACGCGTTCGAGGGATACCTACACAGACTGAATCTGATTCTCTACACCGTCTAATTCAGCACGTGAGAGATTCACTTGAGCTCCAAAACGCAAAGCGTCTGAAGAAACTACCTATACCAGACATTGTATCGTCTTTGCAGTCGGAGCTAGGCGCACCACTACCTCTCCATGTATCACTCTCGCGCACACTGCAAATCAAGGCCGAAGACAGAGAAACATTTCTAGAAACGCTAAGGTTGTCACTGCGACGATCAACAGTATGCAGCTTTGTTTTTGAGTTTCGGAACCTAAAATGGGTGCCCAACTTTGATCGTAACAGATGGTTCCTGGTTCTTAGCATCAAAAGGCCAGTCAACGACGAGCTCAACCATTTGCTGCATGCATGTAACGAGGCTGCCCGTTCCAGTGGCCATCCAGGTTTGTATACCGGCACTGAGGGAGACGGTCCGATGGAAGACCACGACTCAAATGACAGTCTGAAAAGGAGAAAAGTCGACAAGAATGAGCGTCGTCGCATGGACTTCTCCAAATACTTCCACGTCACTATAGCTTGGAATTTGGAGGAGCCCGACACCGAATGGACGGGATTGGTTGAACAGCTCGACACGACCACGTTCATCCAGTCACCAGAGGCTGAATTCGATACCGTCAAGGTCAGAATCGGAAGCGCAGTCCATAACATTGCCCTCTCTACCAGGAGGCTCCGTCTTAGCAAAGGTGTAGGCTTAGGCTTGGGATGAATTTCTCGTCCCGATTTCGATGACGTGGTCTTGGTCCCGTCTCGCAAGGATACCGAGGGACGCAAAGTGTCAAAAATTGTCAGTGTTGTGCCAGCCGCACGCTCCACCAATAAAATGACGTAATGCGCTATAACTTGGGCATCGACATCTTGGTGTTCGCATAGTGGTCTGGCATCTTGATAACGAATAAGTGCTTTTTTTCGCTATCGAAATTTGCACCGGCATCGACACTGTCTTGTATAGAAAGGAAAGAGTGGGGGGAGGGCCATGGCAAGCAAGAGTGTGCGACTGCGACTCATGTAGAAACTGTAAATAAATAAATCCGACCCACTACGCAGCCTTGTTCGTGACAAAACTAACGGAAAATAAAGCATAAATTGATATCATGTGATTGATCTAGATATGCCGATAAACGTTCTCGATCGTCGAGACCCTTTTGATTGTCCCGTCACGACTCATCTCCACACGAAGCTTTTTTAGTAGGAAGATTGACAGGGACAAAATTGTTCTAGGTCATCACGCTACTGCCCCGAGGCCAAAGAACTTCGTATATGCGCCTTGATGGCGATATGGAGAGATTCGCGTATGTTTTTTATATGTTCTAGATACTTCTCTTACTATGCTCGCGGGACTGATCACCCACAGATACTGCTATCTGACTATATTGCTGGTGACTGTCTCTTTTGATATAGATTTATAGTTTTCCGTAGCAACAACAAATGAGGACCGTTCTCAATAGACCCATGTGGTCTGAAACCCCTCTAAGTATCTATGGACACGTGACCGTGCTGCTTGGAAATCTCGCACTAGGCTTCAGCCACACCGTCACTGTAGAACTCATGGTCCTAGGCGTTAGACGGCCGCTATTCTTAGCTCGCTACATCCCCTCAAGCTCAGAGATGGGCGCCGATGCGCTGGAGTCATAGCAGAGGACTGCCAGGGTCTGCACCAGACGTGATGAGCGTCTGTATAGTGAGAGTAATGTTCGGATCCAGGTGTAGGTAACGCTTTGAACTTTCCATCGACTATTTGAGAGCTGTGTCTTAGATTTTCCATTCTGATATGTAAACATGTCGAGACACAGGTTTACGTAGGTACCGGTGCCACGTAGTGGGATATCCACCCATGTTGAAAACGGGACGTAAGTCAACGTGGGCAAGTGGTCTGATGACTCAATAAATAGTATGACATGCTGCTTTATGTGCTGCAAAAGTCGGACATGAGAGGATGAGCAATGAGAGACGTCATCCAAGGTCGTGATCCGATATCGTATCTTCAATCCATACAAATGACGAGGGTAGAAACCATGGTGATATAACGGTAGTATAGCGTCGGCAGACTAAACTCTTGTATCAGGTCTAAGGTTGACGTATATCATTACTTTATTACCTATTGCTCCAAACCACGTGATATGTATACCTAGAAGCACTGGTCAAATCATCTGTGGAACATCGTGTATAATTCGGGGCCGAAAATACCGAGATACTTGCATATCTTACGACAGCAAGCTATTCGGGTGCCTAGCTGCATATACGGAGCGGATGCACGTGCAGTACCGTACGATTGATGCGGGGTCCGTGAATGTGGCGCGCGGCCGCTGCCTGCGTGTTCGTGTCGGGCCCGAGAAGCGTTCCAAGCGTTAGCTTCTTCACTTCGCAAGTCGGGCCCGAAGAAGAACGTGGTCGTGAGATTAGGCAGTCAAGTGGGTTTGTGGGTACATAACGTGTGTTCGATGGCTGCAATGAGTTGCGTCTCTCCAGGAAGTTTGGCCTGCTCTCAAACAGCGCACTTCATACGACCTTTTGAGTGATTAGTTACGGAGAGAAATAACCCAGCAAAGCGAAGAATATCAAGTCAACACCAACATAGCATAATACCCGCATCCGCAGACTTCCGTCTGATCATGCCATCCACCACCATGCCTCAGCATCTCAAAATCGCCATCGTAGGCGCCGGTCCTGCTTCTCTTACTCTCGCCAACATCCTACAAAAGAATGACATCCCCTTCACCATGTTTGAAGCTTCGAGTGAACTACGCACACAAGGCGGCTCACTCGATCTACACCCAGCATCTGGCCAGCTCGCTATCAAAGAAGCCGGACTATGGGACGTGTTCACTCAGCATGCCCGCCCAGAGAGCGATGTAATGAAGATTGTCAACATGGATGGAGAGGTGCTATGGGATGAGAATGGAACTGACAAGCAAAAAATTAAAGAAGAGGACAAGTTTGGCGGGCGACCAGAGATTGATCGTATGGAGTTGGCGAAACTCATGTATGAGAATCTGGAAGAGGGGAAAGTGCAATTTGGAAGGAAGCTAAAAGAGGCTGTGCCGAGTGAGGCGGAAATGGGAAAGTATGACTTGCACTTTGCCAATCAAACAAAAGAGACGGGATTCGATCTTATCGTCGGTGGAGATGGCGCTTGGTCAAAGGTTCGCAAACTGGTTTCTGATCAGATGCCGGAGTACTCTGGTATCTCGTCAGTGACGTTGACGTGCAACGATATCAAAGCCAATTCCTGGCTACTGAATTACGTCGGCGAAGGATCCATGATGGCATTCGGCAAAGACTGCGCTGTCCAGTCTCAACGACAGGGCGATGGCAGCGTACGTACTTACGCATCCCTGCGTGTGCCAGAAGACTTCTTCAGGACTTGCGGCATCGACTGGTCCGAGACAGACACCGCACGCAAAGAGTACATTGAGCGATACATTTCGCACATCCATGAGGATCTTCAACGTGTCCTAACTTCATCTACTGACGAGTTCACCCCACGCGCCTTTTACGAACTGCCCGTCGGATTCCGCTGGTCTTTTCGCTCGGGCGTAACGCTCATTGGAGATGCTGCGCACGTATTTACGCCCTTTGCTGGCGAAGGCGTTAATGTCGGCATGAAGGACGCGTTGGTACTGGCACAGGAGATTGCAAAAATATGTAATGGCGAGAAAAGCCTAGATCAGGGTATCAAAGAATACGAGGAGGAAATGTTTCCTCGCTCAACAAGCGCGGCAGTCAAAACAGCAAAGGGCAAGGACGGCCACTTTAGTGAGACTGGGGCGAAGGAATTTGCGGATAGGTTGAAGGCGCACTATTATGGGAACAAGGAGAAATAGGGGGGTCTGAAGACAGGCGGTGTGGGCATAATGAGCTTTCAGGAGCGGTTTGGCGCAGACTGGTGGTATGTGGGGAATATGGGGAGTCGGGGATTCCGAAGGTAATTGTAGCAAATGAAAGAAATACTCGACCTGCAAAGAACGTTCGATTTCTTATGGAGCCCTGACAAGGAAGGTCCGCTAGCCTACCAAGACAGTCAGCTCTCAAGAAATGAAGATGCAATACGACCTGCTATAAGGCATTTTGCTACACAGATTGAACTAAACGGCCAATCGCGTCCCTGCAAAGACCACCAAAGGCTTATCCGGATGCGAGTGAGTGCGCCTCTAGCTGTCACTCTGTAGGATTTGTGTATGCCGGAATGCCACCGAGGAGACGCTCGTATTTCTCATAGCAAGCGGGTACGAAAGTAATCGCCTGGCGAGTTTTGTGCCGGTAGCAAATTAGGTCGCCAACGCCGATCCAAGAATCTAAGGCAGTCCAGCACCTGCTAGCGACATTAAGACGCCATCGAGACCGCGCGCGATGATTGCAACCACGGCAGGGGAATGATGTTCTTTGATTTTAGGTATAGCATGTGAGGCGGTGCCAGTTGCATTCTGGGCTTGGATCATCGCTATGCGTTGGCGGCTAAATATGGACGATTTGGGAGCTTGAGCAGGTTCGAATGGAGAGTTGAGTGACGTTGGTCGCATGCGCGGCAATGTCCCTGACAGGCTGTTACCTGTCTGAGTCGTGAAGAAAGGGGCACGCACCAACACACTTGCACCCACTTCAGTCCATCCCATGTCACCGATAGCATTCTGCACCAATTAAAGCACAGCACGCGAGGAGCAACCCTGTGCAAGCCGTTCTGTACCTGCATACGCCGTGGCCATGGTTCCGCCTTGCGAGCTGCACAAGATTTAGCCGTTCTCTCGTGTTCAGTGTGATTGCTGGTGCCCGCATTGACAAGCTGCCTGGATGCACGAGGCAAGATTGGCGACGCAATACGCCTTATCGCATGGCTCACTGGACACGAAGTGACTGAGAGTTGCGCAACACTTTGCCTTCTGATGCCGGTACTTACACGGCTGCTTACGGTTGAGCTTTGTTGTGAAGGAGCTGTTGTGTGATTCAGGGTGAAGTTCCGGCTAACCAGATTCATATAAGGATCAGCTCCAACGCCGACCCTACCACGACTATTATACCCCAGACTCATTTCCGCTCGGAGCACATCACGATCTCAATGGAGCCGTGGAAGACAGTCCATGCCGTTCCTGTACAACACCGCCATGCTAATTTGTGACACCCCTAACCTAACGCCTTCGAGGCCAGGCCCACTACCCGGCGCTCACAGGCCATGACATTTCAGTCAAAAGCGCTGTGCTCCCCAGCCTTGACTACGGTTCTTCTTTTTCCCACTACGCAAGGCTTTCTTGTTACGCATCGACAGCCTCGTTGACAAGTACCTTTGGCCTTTGTGCCCAGTCGTTCATTATCTAATACCTATACAACTTAATACTACCCGCTTCACTCGTTCAGCGGAAGAGACCACTACAAACTTCACCTAAATAACGTAAACTAGTTTCAACATGAAGGCTGGTATCGTCGCGGCGGCCCTTGTCGGGTCTGCCGTTGCTTCTCAGCATAACCGCCACCAAGGCTTCCACATGCGCCGTGGTGAACACGCAGCCGAGGAGGTCTGCACGGTCTACCACACCGTCTACGTAACTGGATGTATGTGTCATCCTCGTTCCTGCGCAAGACCGTTCCACGGAGCTTAGCGAAAAAACAATCTTCGAAGACGAAGCATTTCACTAACATGTCTTAGTGCCTCCTATGGCTGCTAACAGCACCATGGCTGTCCCGCCCACTGCACCGCAGACCTCGACTACTTGCACCGAGTCGTCCTCCGTCTACGTACCCGGCGTACCAGCTTCTACCGCTGGTGTACCTTCGCCTTCCACCCCGGCTGGTGTCACCTCGACTGCGCCTGGAGTTCCAGGAGTACCGGCCTCGTCCGCTCCTCCCAACTACCCAGCTGTTCCCGCGTCCTCCAAGCCCGCGGTTCCAGTAGTTTCATCCTCATTCGCTATTCCTAGCTACCCAGTGGTTGACTACTCAACTCCCGCGGTCCCTGCTGTCCCGGCTTCGTCTACCTCCTGCACTGAGGAGGAGCACAAGCCCACTCCTGAGGCCCCCAAGCCCACCAGCTCAGGACCTGCCTACCCGGCTGTGCCAATGTCTTCGAGCGCACCCCACCCAGCTGTCCCGGTTTCTACCAAGCCCGAGGTTCCAGCTGTCCCAGCTTCCTCCAAGCCTGTTGTGCCTGAGGTTCCGGCTCCCTCCAAGCCTGTGGTTCCCGGCGTCCCGGCTTCGTCCACTTCCTGCACTGAGGAGGAGCACAAGCCCACTCCTGAAGCCCCCAAGCCTACCCCCGAGGCTCCCAAGCCCACTCCTGAGGCCCCTAAGTCTACTGCTGAGGCTCCCAAGCCCACTCCCGAGGCCCCTAAGCCAACTCCCGAGACTCCCAAGCCCACTACTCCCGCCGCTCCTGTAGCTGAGTCTTCCAAGCCTGCATACCCGGCTGTTCCTGTTGTCTCATCATCTGCGCCAGCACACCCTGTGGTTCCTATCAGCCAGCTTCCATCGTTCACTCCCGCTGTCCCCACCACCACTTCCAAGCCTGCCGCTGCTAAGCCCACCCCCAGCAGCTCCAAGCCTTCTGGAAACACACCCTCCAACGCCGGAAGCTACGGAAAGACCGGCCGCATCGTGACCAACGGCGACAAGTGGTCCATGACCTACACTCCCTACGCCAGCGACGGTCAATGTATGGCTCCAGATGCTATCCGCGCTGACATCAAGAAGATTGCTGGGCTTGGTTTCACCACCATCCGCATCTACGCCACTGACTGCGGTGTCTTTGAGCACGTCGTCCCTGCCTGCCAGGAACACGGCCTCAAGGTTATCTACGGTGTCTTCCTCGAGGCTGGCGGCAAGGGTCCTTTCTCCGACCATGCAAACGAGCAGGTCCAGGACATCATTGAACACGCCCCCAAGGACTCCATTTCCATGGTCATTGTCGGAAACGAGGTCCTCTTCAACAATATCTGCAGCGCTGAGCAACTTGGTTCCTACATCGACCACGTCCGCAACCAGTTCCGCTCAGCTGGCTTCCCCGAGGACATTGCCTTCACCACCGCTGAGCCTGTCGGCACCTGGGAAGAGAAGGGTGCTGCTCTCTGCTCGCACATTGATGTCTTCGCCGCTCAGATCCACCCCTTCTTCACTGCTAGCATCGAAGCCTGCGATGCCGGTGACTTTGTCGCCCAGCAGCTCGAACAGGCCGCCAAGGTCTGCCCCGAAGCCGCTGCTAACGGCAAGTTCGTCACCGAGACTGGCTGGCCTCACCAGGGTAACGCGAACGGCAAGGCCGTTGCAAGCCAGGAGCAGCAGAACATTGCTATCAAGAGCATCATTGAGAAGATCGGTTCCTCGGTCTGCATCCTCGGTATGCACGATGACGGATGGAAACACCCCGGTGAATTCGGTGTTGAGCAGTTCTGGGGCTGCGCCGCTGCTCTTGAGGCTATGTGAACGTGCATCGTTACTAGTTAAAACTCGAGGAGGGTTTCTTGGTCAATATGAATTAAACTTTCCCTCTGTTGTATATGGTTTGCTACTTCATATGTTTACGCTTGCTATCTCGTTGTCTTGTACAAGTCTTGAAAATATATCGTTTAACTGCAAGTCGATAGATGGTGCGGTATCTTGGTGGCTAGTTCTTAGTGTTTAATCTTGCAACAAAGAATTGTTACTGTCATACTGCCATACTCTCCCTCACCCACTCAGCACTGTCAAACTTCTCTGCCGGCGCGATTACTCCGGGCAATCTCCGTTCAGTAATCTGCGCGGAACGGCTCGGAAATTGGAGGACGTGTTGTCAGCGCAATCTGAATCAGTAGTATGAATGTAGCTGTGGAGTCTTGCTGATTTCTTACTGAGAAATGGAGGGGACAGGGTTTGTGGAATCGCTCGGGATGATGTATCCAGTGGAATAGTAGTAGTAGTAGTAGTATCCATTAACGTCCCTTTTCAGTCAGAGACTATGTAGGACGGTGGCCTAGGGCCGTTTGACTAGTTTTTTCCCTCTATACCCGTAGGATTTCGTTTCTTTGGTCGAGTTTGACTATGGGGGTTTGGGTTTTTTGCTTCTATACAGGAAAGAGAGAGAGACCTTGTAATAGACACCCGTTTATCTCCACCTTTGTGACCAATCCCTTTGCTATAATAACCCCGTGCTCCTAAGACTGAAAAAAACCTCGTAGGGGAAAAAGTCATGGGACCTTGAACGTTTGTTGTATATAGCGGCAGTTGCGGCATATTTTCGTCTCGGCGGTACTTTGTGGCTCGGTTGTACGGCGGCGGCTAGCGTTAAGCGTGCGGGGTATTGGTGAAAAACTTTCCAGGTTTCGAAAGGAGCCGTTCGATGTTTTTTGGTAAAGCTAGAATAATAGAATTATTATAGCGGTGAGGGGAGAAGGATTCGAACCTTCAACCTCTGCGAGCAAGCTAGCAGAAGCAACCAGGCGCACTACCACTGCGCCATCCCCCCTGTATCCAGTGGAAGGTTGCACAAAGACACACTTGTGTCATTTGGGTCTAGACGGAGGACTCGAGAGGCTTATGTAATGCCATGCTATCGGACGGGAGATCGTCAGGGCATCAGCAGCTTACCTTTCTCCCACCGCACTACCTCTGTGCCCCGCGATCATGGTACCACGAGCGCGTCCCCGCCACCGACCCATAACCATCGCTACAGTGCTCGGTACAGCCTCGCTCATCCTTCCTACCGTCACAATCCTTCGCCTCTACGTCGTATCACGCTTCCCAATCTACACGTTCCTCTACGCCAGCGTTGTCAGCGGAATTACCTTTCTCTTCTATGGCTATGATAAGATGCAAGCTCGTAACCTGCAGTGGAGAGTTAGGGAAACTACGTTGCACACTTTGGCGCTCATAGGAGGATGGCCGGGCGCGCTGGCAGGTATGCATTACTTCCAGCACAAGACAAAGAAGACCAGCTTCCAGGTAATGTTCTGGGCTATTGTGTTGGGCTGGGAGGGCGTATGGTGGGGTGTTTGGAATGGTAGTGTATGGATGGGATGAGCATCGGGCATGTTTTATGGACTATTGGAGTTCATTGAAAACTATCGTGATCATTACAAGGAGTCTTTACGGTCGTTAGGAAAGAGTAGAAACCGCTGGAGGAGTCTGCCAGGATTGACACAAAAGAAAAAGGCCCCCACCATACTTCAGCTCCCCATTTGGATGTCCCACAGTATCACCCCATTGCTGCAGTTTTACTCGGCTTTCTTCTGGATCTTGTGCTGCGTCGTGTCTTTGGTTTTGCCCATCATGGTCGAGACACGCTCGAGCGCCGCCTTGTGGTAGCTCTGCACGGCGTTCCAGTCTACTTGGTCCGCAACACTCTTCGACAAGTTCGTCGCCGAATCCCAGGCCTGGGTCGCCGCACGGGCTGTACAAAGAAAAGACATTAGCGGCCAGTAAGAGGACTGGTGAGTCTATCTGCAGATTCACCCGCTTGCTCTCCAATAGGGTTCTGCATGGCGCCACCCGCGAGGTTGCTGATGCCACTCTTCAGGTTCTTGACGTCTTCTTGGTCGGAGGAGGGAATCTTGTTGATGGAGTCTAAGGGGTGTCAGTATCGACCAACCATGGTCTGGAAGGGATGCAGTGAGTATGGCAGACGCACCTTTGGCCATGTAGGACATTTTGTTCTCTCCCATGGTCTTGAGAGCCTGGTTTTCCATCTTGCGCTTCATCTCGGGCGAGATACCGAAGAAGTAGAAATACCCAGCGGCCAAGGCTACTAAGCCGGCGAGGATGGTAAAGATGCCGATAGCCATGGTCGAGGTGTGGTAGGTGGACGTTTGTGTAAAGTACTTGCACTGGATTGATGGTTGTAGTGTTTGTCTTGCAGAGAAGGGCTTGCAGAATTCGAGTGATGCCTTGGTGTGGTCGTGTGTGAATCAAGGTGCAGATTATGTAGGCGGAATAGGCATGACGTAGCAAGCACATGAATGCAAACTTTCCAGCCTTGCGCCTGCGGTGACACAAGATGGCTTCCTTCCTTCTTGGCAACCATGGTTCCTTACATGTTTTGTTCTTCTCGGAGCATAAATGCATGCATAAGCTATTTATTGATGATGCGACACGACGACCTGTGGAAACGCGGAGTCGGCTGCTTGGGACGTGTTTATGCCTCGTGTTTGGCCGACAGCACTACCACCTGTCTATGTCCAATACGCATTGTCAACCACGATACACTCAGCGTCTGACTGCATTGATGAGCTTATTGCAGTAGTAAAGGGTTTCTCTCCTTTTAGTTTCGTCCGGCCTTGGAAACATGGCTACGAGAAAAGCGTTGGGAGGTGCGCAACTAAGTTAGTGCTTGGCTGCGCCCCAAACGACAGCCGCAAGCCGCGAGGCGGACACGACCCTCGAATGCGCCTGCCCCACAGCCAGGCCAGGTGCTACTCCTGCTCTTCTAGGACGGTGGACCCTTGTTGCTGACCCGATACATTGTGTGCTTCTTCTTCACGACATTCCTTCTCGACCCCATCTATTCTCCTACCAAAGCATTGCCATCTGACGGGCGTTCCCTCTACCCCTCACCAACCCCCACAATCAGCTGAACGCGCCTGATAGGCACCTGAACCCTCACATCCTCAGCCTGAATACACGAAACAAGCTTACTGCAGTCTTATAACTGCAACTCAGCTGCCCATCATGAGTTGGTGTCTCTTTATTCTTTTGCTCCGCGATTTGCCCTACTGACAATCTTTGTCCAGTGACCAATATGCTCAACAAGCTGCACGGCCAGCCCGAAAGCTATGATCGCAAGTTTGTACTCCCGTACCCCGCGCATTCAGACCCATGCTGATTGAGCCAATTGCAGATCTCGATACCGCTTTGGAAAGACATTGGGCGCTGGCACATATGGTATCGTTCGGGAAGCCGACTGCCCCGAGGGCAAGGTGGCTGTCAAGATTATCCTGAAGAAGAATGTGCGCGGAAACGAGCAGATGGTCTATGACGAGCTGGAGATGTTGCAGCGCATGAAGCACCCGCACATTGTCAAGTTCCACGACTGGTTCGAGTCAAGAGTATGCAAAGAATTGCTGTCATTCATGGGCTTGTTGGACTAACAAGCACCAGGACAAGTACTACATCGTGACCCAATTGGCGACTGGTGGAGAGCTGTTCGACCGCATTTGCGAGAAGGGAAAGTTTACGGAAAAAGACGCAGCTGAGACGATCCGTCAAGTGCTCGATGCAGTCAACTACCTCCACGAAAACAATGTGGTCCATAGAGGTATGTTCTTTATGATAGCCCAAGGTTCAGCAGCTAATTCGCGGATAGATCTAAAACCAGAGAACCTCCTATATCTCACGCGCGACGCGAACTCCTCCCTCGTACTTGCAGATTTTGGCATCGCCAAGATGCTCGACTCGAAGAGCGAAGTCCTGACCACCATGGCCGGCTCGTTTGGATATGCTGCCCCTGAGGTTATGCTCAAGAAGGGCCACGGCAAGCCCGTTGACATGTGGTCCATGGGTGTTATCACATACACACTTCTGTGCGGATACTCGCCTTTCAGGTCAGAGAACCTTGCGGACCTAATTGAGGAATGCAAGAATGGTCGCGTCATCTTCCACGAGCGATACTGGAAAGAAGTGAGCCCTGAGGCTAAGGAGTTCATCAAGAAACTCCTGGAGCCAGACCCAAACAAGCGACCAACAAGTCAAGTAAGTGGAGCGGCTGGTCTATTAGCAGGCAGGCAGACAACTAACAAGATCAGGCTGCCCTCAAACACGTGTGGCTCAGCGGAAGCACTGCCACGGACCACAACTTGGTGCCTGAGATCAAGGCATATGCGGCCAAGGCCCGTCTCAGGCGTGGTATTGAGCTCGTCAAGCTTGCGAATCGCATTGAAGCGCTAAAGATGCAAGAAGACGAGGAAGAAGCCGTTCCCGGAGAGGCGGACGTGCCAGCCAATGCTCGCGAAGCTGCAGGCGAGGCCATCGCAAAACCCGCCGAAGACGCGGGTCTAGCGACCAAGGAGAATACAGGCACAGGAAAAGGCCCTGGACGTCTGAGCAGGATCGCCAAGGGAGCCATTTTCCGAGAAGTAGTGCTGGCCAAGGTGCGTGAGATGAAAGAGCAGGAAGCGCGAGCAGAGTTTGAGAAGCACGCAACAGAACCAAAGAAGTGATAGATGGAACCATGAACACAAGCCTGGGGTTCGGTACAAACATGTCTGGTTTGGAAGCGAAGGGTCTCATTGTTCCCTATATACCCCTGGAAGATAGTAGCCAGGATGCCCTCCATAGAAGACCCTTTGGGACAATACGAGGGATTCATGTATGAAAATGCGGTTTGATGTTTGTCATATTGTACTGTTTGAACAAGTAGGTGAAATTGTGATTACAAAGTTGTGACTTGACAGTTGATGCGAGGAGCATCCGGTAATAGTCGTGGCCCGTGCACATGCTTGGCGAACCGCGAAGCACCTAGATTGAACACTGCGGCGCGTCCACCCGGGTCGACGACTGAACGCGCAATTCACTGCACCCCCACCACGCTCTCTACCCGGACTGAGACGTCCCAGACCTGACTTGGAAAGACTACGCGATCCCGATACAAGCGAAAATGGAGAGTGCGGCCAAGCGCAAAGCCGGCGGCGCTGCTGCGGCTACGGGTGATAGCGACAATCGCCCTGCGAAGCGACAGAAAGGGACGGTACGTGCAGCCCATGGTGGTGGTGGTTGATGCATCGTCTGCTGCGTTCTGGAGATGCACGAAGCGTGTTGGTTGCGATGCGGGATGGTCCTTAGACCAGACAAGGAGCGCGCGACACCTGGGGGGCTCGACAAGTAGGCCATCACCCGCTGCCGGCCCCTCCTCGCTCCCGCAACACCACGCGTGCGCCGGCGTGGCAGACGGACAATGGAGGAACATGTAGAAACAATTCTTGGAATGATCGCTGACACCGGACCGCTTGCGTGCAGACCGACACCAATTCAAAGTCAGAGACAGTAGCGTCGACAACGGCGGCGGGCATGAAGTTCCTCGACAGCTTGAAGCAGGCAAAAGACAAGACGTACGTGCCATGTTGGTCACTAGTGTGGCATTGGCAGCTTCCGGCCTTTCTCGCGAGCAATGGTAGCAATTGGCACTGACAGGACGCAGTGGACGACCCATAGCAGTCCACTTCCTCACCCTACCAGACAAGGTGCGCTCCACATGCCCTCCTTGCATACCCTCAACTGACCATTTCGTCCAGAATGAAGTACCCGAGTACTACGAATATACCAAGCTGCCTATTGCCATTGACACCATCGAGGTACGCTATTTTCCCGTGTCAGATGTTAATTCATCTGATACCACTCCTCTCCCAGAACTGCCTCAGGCCACTTGCTTCTACCAAGTCAATCTCGACTACTTCGTTCCTTTCCTGTGAATCGAATATTCTAGCGGGACATTGCTGATCAATGTCTCACAGACAAAACTTAATAATGGAGAGTACTCCAGTCTCGCCCAGGTCGAGAGTGACTGTAAACGTCTGGTCAACAACGCCAAAGCATACAACGACAAGAAGTCGATTATATACGAGGATGCCGAGCGTCTACGCAAAACGGCTTCGAACTGGATGGTCAAGCACAACCCTGCATATAGGGACGGCAACTATGCCGCTGTAGCTACACCGATTCCTGGGGAGGACAACTCGACTCCCTCAAGACCACCGCCCCGTGTTGCGGCGACACCACGAACTGCAAAACAGACACCGGCTGGCCCAGATACGGACCGCCCCAGGCGAGCGGCTGCCATTGCAGCATCGGCTACACCGGCACCCTCAAAGCTGCGACTGTCGGCATCTGCTGCACCGGACGACGACGAAAGCGCAGATTACACGGGCAAGACCTTCCAGCAGGCACAAGAGCAGATCGTGAGGGAGATTATGGACTACGAAGAGTAAGTCGCATGTGCCATGCTGCATCACGTTCACGCTAACATCCCTCAGCCAAGGCCTACAGATATTTCTACCTTTCCAAAACCTGCCCTCGCGCAGCTTGAAAGATTATTACCAGTTGATTAAGGATCCTATGTCTCTGGCTGCCATACAGAAGAAGGTTCGCGGTGTTGTAGGACGTGACCCCCCGACAGGACACACTCTTTTCAAAACTTGGGACGCATTCGAGACCAGCTTCAGCTTGATTTGGACGAATGCCCGTATCTACAACGAAGATGGAAGTGACATCTACAACCTTTCGCTTGAACTCGAGGTATGCATACTATCCAACGTGTTCTTTCTCCACACACTGACAAATGTAGGAAATCTTCCACAAGAAGCTCGAAGAAGCCAAGTCCAAGGTCAACGAGCCATCGCAACCGAAACTCAAGCTCAACATGTCTACCCCCGCACCAGCTCCAAAGCAGCAGCTCAAGCTCAAGCTCAAACCGACTCCAGGCTCAGATCCGAACACTCCAAGCGTACGCGATTCTGCTACCCCTGGTGTCATTGTCGACAACGATGCTCTTCTACGACAACAGCGACATGTACTTGACAGCATGGGTAGTAATCGGTCCCCCGTTCCACCTGGAAAATCCGCGACACCCACTGCAACTGCCAACCCGTTTACCGGTCCGAGAGGTGGCGCTGCGACAATTTCGTCTCTCTCTACTAGCCAAACCAGGACGGCGGGATCTCCGCCAGCAGTTAATGGTGTGAAGCAAGACGTCCAATCTCCTTCTTTGAGTGCTGTCAGGCCAGCAAGCACTGCACCCGATGGTCAGGCTTCACGACTTAGCGTTCAGGCACAAACCCCGCTTCCTCACATGGCTCCTCCGCATGCTGTCTCACGAACGGCGAGTGGTAGTCCGCATCCAAATGGTGCCGTGCAAAATGGCAACTACGTCCCACCGCATCAGCCGACTTACTACGCACCTCCACCCGTTGCTCGTGTCGATAGCTTCAGGAAGGTGCCACTAAAGAGTGAGTACACGCAGCCTTTTTCGTGATTTCATTGCTAACTATCTGATAGGCCATCAAGAGGCATTGATACCAAGTATCACATTGAACACCCACCCCGCTCTTGCTGCAACTGCGCCCTGGTCTGTCAAAATCCTGGCGGACAAGCGGAAGACAGCGTACAGTGCTACAATGGTTGTCGCGCCCACCAACTCCTATATCCAGGTCATACCTAGGGTTCCCATTGCGCTTACAAGCCGCATGTACCGCCTCTTTGTCACCGTGAACGGCAACAAGACCCTCGAGGCCAACCGTGTCCCCGTAACCGCAGGCATCAACGGTGCGAGTCCCGGTCCTGGCTACGAAGGCGGCAAGAAGAAGGGCGAACCCTTGTTTGAGGGCAAACTGGCTGCTGGCGTGAACCGCATCGAAGTCGAGATTGTCGCCGAGAAGGAGCGTAAAGGCCAGGTCGAGAGTGGCAGCGCGAAGAAGGAAGAAGTCGAGATTGAAAAGTGCACCATTTTCCTGCATCTACAACGAACACCAGCAAACTAGGACACGCTCGCACACGACGGACGGCTTCAAAAGTACCGATTTCTCCCGAGCCCACCGGTCATACATATATCCCGTTATATCTACAATACAGTTGGGATTAGGATTGGCTGGTGTTGTGTGCTGTTTCTTCACTTTCCTAAGAGCAAGCATAAGAGCATCGAGAGTTGTGGCGTTTATAACATGGCTTGCTTTTGTTTTGATCTTACTTTTTCGTCTTCCGGTGATATACCTCAAATTGGGTGGAAAGGATACGGGTGGATGGTCAATTTTTGGTCGCGTAGGTCACTTCGGGTCAGGTCAGGTCAGGTCGGGGAAAGGGATGGGGATGGGGAAAGCGCGATGTTTAATTCCGCGATTCAGTACAATTGGGGATGCATGCCTGAACCATTGATTGGCAAAGACGTACGTACGTCCGGCATCGATAGCGAAGGAGGAGGAGGATTTCGAAGATGCAATTGATTAGTCTAATGTGTACGAAAGAACGTCTTGCAAAGACCATGTCGTGTGTGGGTATCTGTCATGTGGCGTGCAACAATCGTCTGTCGTGCGTTTGACCTCTTTCTCTCTGATCGGAATAAGCGACGCTTTTTTGGGTACACAGAATACGATGTGTGTACCACGATATCTGGCTTTCTACCTACGATCTGAAGCCGTTTCTCTGTGTTACCCACGGCTTTTCGATTGAGGATCCCCGCCTCGGATAAAAAGCAACGCGCTTGCATTGCGCGTGCAGGAGCGGTGTGAGTGCGTAATGCGGTACTACAACTTCTCGTGAGGGAGGTATGCTGCGTCACCGGGGTACAGGTGTGGACGGGTGTGTGTGGGTGGGACATGGGGAGGTGTGGTGGGTTATAATAGAGGATGGGGGGGGCGCTGCTACTCACACCTAACTCCAGATCTCCCAACCCATCTACCAATAACCAACATGGCACCCCCAGGAGTTCTCCTCGTCCACCCCCGCCTCCTCACACCCACTCCCACCACCGCCTCAACCTTCCTCCACTGGACCAAACTCCATTTCCGCGACATGCTTCGTCTGCAAGGCGTAACAGGTGCCATGCGGTTCCGCGCCCCAGATACAGACACCGGGTACTCACATGCGCTGGAAGACGACACGGGGGAGAGTGGAGAGAAGTTACCCCTGTATTTGTATATGTGCGTGTTGAGTGATTTGGGGGTTGTGAGGGAGGCGCCGTATTATGGGGTTAGTCGGAGGTTGGATTTGGATGAGGAGAATGGGGAGGGTGATGGGGTGAAGAAGGAGGAAAGGGAAGAAGATAAGAAGATGGTGTTTGATATCGTAGATGCCAAGTTTGCTGTTTACGAAAAGTTGGTCGGGAGGGGGATGATTCCGGTAGTGGAGAAGAAGACGAAGTCTGTGCTCATCTGTGTTTCCATCACTCCTTCGTCGCCTTCTTCTACACACACAGATACCGATGCAGCTTTCGTCTCACAATCTCTACACGACTCCCTCCTGGATACGGTAAAGAAAGCGGTACCGCCGGCTCTCACAACACACTCCTGTATGTATCGCTGGGCGGGTGAGGCAGCGCAACCGGATATGCATCCGTTGATTGATATCGGGGTCAGTGGGGAGTGGATGGTGACGGTGTTGGTGGTGGATGAGGAGGGGGAGACGCTGATGAGGGAGCATGTATGTATTTTGGTGGAAGGGTGGGTTAGTGACGTTGCAATGGGGATTGTTGGGGGAGGAAAAGTGGGGGCTGGGGTTTGGGAGGGGGAGGTCATCATGGGGTAGTAGTGGTAGGTATGTTCAGGTATTGAAAATGCATGTGGCGGGCAGATTGGGTATTCTTTTCTTCTCGTGGGGGAACTGAATATACAATTTAGAGCTTTCTCTATGAATGGTCGAACCAGCACTTCTTCATAGCCCTCTTGTCTGGAAACCGTCTATACGTAACCTTGACTCTCGGATTCTTATCCCGCATAGTTCTCGTGAAGTTCTCAGTCGACTCTTCAAAGTTACTCGCTGTAGTGTAGGACGCTCGTTCCTCTTCTCCCAAGCCATCATCCTCATCCTCATCATCTTCAGAATCCGCATCCATATTTGTCTGCGGAACCCAGACCTCAAACTCTCCCAGATTTGAAAATGCTTGAAGCTTTGGTGTACTGAGACCGATGTCTCCAGACGTTTCCTCGCCTAGATCATCGCTACTTTCATATCCTGGATCTTCTACTTCTGCCATACCGTACAAGTCCAGGACATCAGCGCAAACTTGTAGTCTGTGTACTTTGTTTCTCTTGTGTAAGGCAGTCCAGAACCAGTCTTCATATCGCGCTCGGCAGCTGAAGGACCATGTCAGAAGAGATTGATAATCCATCGTAGCTGTCTCTGCGTAAGTTTGTCGTGATACTATGAGGATGCTAGGCGTTGAGTTTGTTTTCTGAAGAAACCTTTTTGAGACTCGGATAGTGAGGGGAAGGCATAACTTCCATATCTCGTCACGGAGTTCCCTAGGTAGGCGCAAGATTGGGGACTCGATGGTGTTGCGATGTGCACTGTTACTTTCTTAATATGAGAGGTAATATGTCATGCAGTCGATTGACTGACGTCTTGATTTGCCAATCCATTTTTGGTGTCGTATCGAAGATTCCATTATTCAACTTTAACAGGGGGGTTGCCATGTTGCGTGGTGGAGATTGTGTAATGGAAATTGCGGGGTACGCGGAGGAATGGTGGCAGTGGCCTCATCGCGATGCTGTGAGCTCAGCTGTCTAGCTTAGCTAATACACACGCTATTCTTAGTCTGGTATAGTAATTTCTCGTCATAGCAGGCAAGGAAGGTGTAATATACACTCATGGCTTTCACATTTGATAGGTGGTTAGAGGCAGCTGACTTGTTCAAGAATAGAAGTGCTAGGTGACTGGTCGAGGTGTCAGGTCGTCCATCATAGCTGGTAATCAGACCAAGTGATGGGCCAATAACCCATGCGTTTGTTTTTGGTCACAATGCATCGATGTTGTAAAAGCACTGCAGGCAATAGGTACTCAATCTCTAATACCCCTGATATTGAATCACATGAGAGGGGATCTTGTGTCGTTCTTTTGCGAGTTCGGAAAAAAACACTTGTTGGCTTGATCTGGCCACGTGCTGTAATAGAAAACTACCGTTACCATGACCAAATTGGCATTGGCTTTGGCATGATGAATAACGGGAAAAAGCAGCCAAGATATTAGATACAAAACAAGCAATCCACTGGAAAGCCACGTTGTTGCGACTAGGGCATGTGTTGTCTGTACGGAAGTTTTCATGGAGAGGGTGTGTGGCGCAAAGCTGAAGTGCGAAGGCTTTCATTGTATAGCTGAATGCCCGAGGGCTGTGGAATGCCATTCTAGACTGCTCAGCTCACCCCTAATCAGCACAACACCCTAGTCATACGCAGAATTTTCATCATTAGCCTTACTGTACGATAACAGTGTCCGTTGAACTGTACGATCGTATCGTTCCATCTGACATCTTTACTTTTTTCGCTTATGTATACTCATAAGAGCAGGTAGTGCGACCGTGACCCCGCGAGTTATGGGTTTGTGGAGTAGCCCTGAGATGCTATTTCGAGATCATACAACTGATCTTGTTCTTGGATGTGGACAACTACCCCTCGGTAGAACTTGCGCACAGGTCTTCGATTCGTGATCCAAACATCCAAAACCTGACTGTGAATATTGCTGAGTTTGTCCTTAACGCGCACTCTTGCAATGAACGATCTCGATGCCACGATACAGCCTTTGTGGGTTTAGGTGCGTCTGTACGAAGAAAAAGAAACGTTTCTGCACCGAACGGCCGAGGTTCCAACACCACGGAAGAGGCAAGAGCTAACCTAATCATCGCACACTGCATTAGAGTAGCAGCGAGAGTCGCAGCCGAGGCTCTTCGTATTCATGCATCCAGTAGAGCCAAGCTTTCATGGCCTGCTCAGCGGACTTGGCGATCTGCATATTGATATTGGATGGCCGCCTTGCTAGGCCATCGTTGGCGAATGCATGATATGCCGTGTACCAGCAGCTGTTAGTGCTGCAGTTCAGCGTGGGGTCCGAAGGATTGAACTTGAATTGAGAAGAAGTAAAGATATGACAAGCTGGCAACCCAAGTACTGTTGCAACAGCCACTGGCTATGTGAGAATCAGGCAGTGTTAATTTGCTTCACAATATTCGAATACTGTTGGAATAGAAGCATTGTTAGTCTGAATCTCTAAGTCTGCTGGCTTGGTGATGGAACAAAACCGATCTAGTGTAACCTAGCTCGCGTGTTCGTGTGGTCCCCGTGGGGTTATGCAGGGGTAAGAGGACGAAATTTGAAATGTGGCGGCCGCTACCTGCCGAATGCTCGGATGCTGCGCCTAAAACATCCCATCGCCGAGCAGGTGAAGAAGAAACGATACGCTCGCCCCCATTTTATTCTGAAAATCTGGAGACGATGGTCAGTCAGGTGGCATCCGCCATGGACCCTGGTGTCGTTGCTGAAGGTCATTGCTGACTTTGTTGCTGACTCGTTTGCCTCTGATTTGAACGTTATCACACACCACCAAAAGCGTGGTGGCCCACGTGCAAAGCACATACTTCGGTGTCGCCTAGTGCTGCATGTTGATCAGACGAGGAAGAAAGCCGTGTTTTCGGCAAGTGAGACACCCGCACGTTACCAGTGCTAGGGAATACATGAGAGACAGCTGAGGACAGGTCATAGAGAGGCGTGGTGGCTTGAAGGGCCTCGCCTGATAAGCTGAGGGTCTTCATGCCAAGGGCGGCGGGCGCTAAAGTAGCGTCGATCGTTACCAAAATCTAGACCTCGCCATTGCGGCTTCCAACACTCTCTTCGCCAACAGGAACAGCATCCATGAATCTGACAGGACGGCAAGGAACCGTCACGACCACCCCAGACCCAATACTGCTATTCTTGTCCGACAAAATTCCCGATGAAGCCTTTGCCTTGACCGGTCATTACCTAGCCTGCCGAGCATACGCTGCCTGGCCCTGTACAACTCACACAAGCTAGAAACGTATTTGGCTCTAACTTAGTAGAACGGGACCGCCAAACTCTTGCTGACAGGTAGTCCCTGGGGGCGCTGTCCGCTCGTATCGTATTGCAAGCGAATTCCAGCGCCTCCGAAATGCGAAACCTTGTCGACCTTCTACGGTACGCCTCAACTTTGCCCCTTTTGTCGATCTCGCCATGCTTGACCGGACCTAGTGTCTCAGAGTGGTCTAATCCATCATCTCTATTGGATTAGCATGCGTTCTCTTCTACAAGACCTCTATGATTCAGAAGTCATTTTTCGAACTAAGGGCTCAAGAGAGGCATGGCTCTTGTTGTGGATCAAGATTGGAGATACTCAACTTGCATATATCTTACACATGATAGCTCTAAGATTGGCATCGAATATCAAGTTGATCTGTGGCGACCAGGCGGTCTATTGTTGTTCACCAACATGGCTTAGTTGTTCTTGCCCACACCAAAATTTCACCACTCTTCAGCCGTTTGGCGCTTGCTCATAGCTAAGCCTGACAAGCCCTGGCTAGGCACGGCTTCCATCTTCTTGGCAACATCGTGAGCGGCTTGGAGGGCGCTGTGAAAATGGCGAGACTACGGATCTAAGCGATGGTAGTGGAGACACCAGGTGATAAATGATTCTGGGCTTGGACTTCGGACGCCGACCTGGAGCACATGTGGCTGTTCGCTTGACGCTAAAGAGCATGGTGAAGTGTTTCGGATGGCTCGAGAACTCCAAAAATGGCATATTCGAGACCTTAAGGCACCCATCTCCGGTGATGAGTGGAAGTATATAAGACATACAATGTGCTCATGTCAAGTGCAGTATCAGCTCAGACTTTCTCATACTTGCTCACCTTCTAGTCTTAATACTCTTGATCATGAAGAACTATCTTTCTGTCGGAGTCGCTGCCATCTTGGCATCACAAGCACTTGCCGGCGATGATGCATGGCTGAGTCCTGTGTACAAGCAAATCTTTCAAAACCGGCTCCCAATCCCTCAAAACAAGGAGAAATCATTCACATACACGAATGCGACTACTGGTAACGAGATTGACTTCTACGAGATCGATGTCAAACCCTATACTCAGCAAATATACCCTGGACTGAAGCCAGCAAGACTTGTTGGGTATGATGGAACGTCACCAGGACCTACCTTTAGGATGACAAGAGGCAGGGAGGCCGTCGTAAGATTCAAGAACCACGGCGATAAAGACCTCTCAGTGCATCTCCATGGGTCATTCAGTCGAGCACCCTTCGATGGCTGGGCTGAGGACACTACTAAGTATGGTCAATACAAGGATTACTGTAAGCAACAATCAATCCCAACAAATATCATAGAAAGCTAATTTGCTTGGTAGACTACCCCAACAAACAAGCTGGCCGCACACTGTGGTACCATGACCATGCTATCTACCACACAGCAGAGAATGCCTACTTCGGACAGGCCGGCTTCTATATTCTCAGAGACCCTGCGGAGGATGCCTTGGATCTTCCCTCTGGCTCATATGATGTACCTCTTGCATTGGCTTCAAAGCAGTACAACGCAGATGGTACCCTTTTTGACCCTAAAGACGAGACTGTCTCGCTCTGGGGAGATGTTATTCATGTCAACGGCATGCCGTGGCCTTACATGGACGTGGAGCCTCGCAAGTACCGCTTGCGAATCCTGGATACCTCTATCAGCCGCGCATTCAAGCTCACACTCGAAGATGACGCAAGCAAGAAGCTTACCTTCAACGTCATTGGCGCCGACACAGGGCTCATGACGAAGCCTGTGCCAAGTGACAACCTCGAGATCTCCATGGCTGAACGTTGGGAGATCGTTGTAGACTTCAGTGCCTATGCTGGAAAGAACGTAACGATGAAGAATGCCCGTGACGTTCAGGCCGACGAAGACTACAACAGTACCAACAAGGTCATGCGATTTGTCGTCGGCAAGACCGTCTCCAGCCAAGCAGGAAACAAAGCCCTCCCAACGTCTCTGCGCACTGTACCCTTCCCACCAAAGAAGACTGGCATTGACAAGAGTTTTAAATTCGAGAGGAAGAACGGCCAATGGACAGTCAACGGTGTCACTTTTGCCGATGTCAACAACCGGATCCTCGCTAAGCCCCAGCGTGGCGCAGTCGAAGTCTGGGAGCTTGAGAACTCTTCCGGTGGCTGGAGTCACCCCGTCCACATCCACCTCGTCGATTTCCAGATCCTTACCCGTACTGGCGGCAAGCGAGGTGTTCTTCCCTACGAGAAGGAAGCGCTAAAGGATGTTGTCCTGCTTGGCGAGAACGAGAAAGTCACAGTTATCGCGCGCTACGCTCCTTACGACGGCGTCTACATGTTCCACTGCCACAACCTGATCCACGAAGACCACGACATGATGGCCGCTTTCAACGTCACCAGCCTCTCTGACTGGGGTTACCCAGAGACCACCAAGTTTCTTGACCCTATGGAACAGAAGTACCGCTCCAAAGACATCAACGACAACGACAACAAGAAGGAGACTATCCTTGCCAAGCTAGCCGAATTTGAGGCAATGGAAGCCTACGTTGATCCCGAGAAGATGGAGGCGTCTCTCGCGCAGTACTGGAATGACAAGGGCGGAAAAGGAACCAGCGGCAGTAGCGCACAGGCTGTTACTCGCCGGACTTCCAAGGCAACGAATTCTATTAGAAGGAAGAAGTACACATGAGCGAAGGAAGAAGCTTACACTGTAAATACTTTGATGTTCCTATTTCCTGAGTAAAATATTGGTTTTGGCGTTACTGGGATTCTGGCTGGTAGATATTACAACGACACGAAAACTCTTCTAATTTAATTTTCCAAATTCATTATGCACCTTGATTTCTCTAAGTTTACCTGTCACATTGATTCTTAGTTCGCGTTGCAAGGGGGTTGGGCAGGATCAGCACGTGACCTGCCCGATGTTCTCATAATCCTGTTTTTTTTGTATGCCTGGCTTTTGACCTTCGTTAACGAACACACCAAAGCGCAAAGCAGAAATACCCAGCATTTCATCATCCGCTCACAAGAAGGAAGAGAGTAAGCAGTTCTTGCGGACTATAAGCAACTGGACCGATCCAACCTGGGGCTTCTACGTCTATGGCACCTACACGCGTCCATGAGGGGCGGGAGACGTAGGTGAATGCGGTACATCGATTTAGTGAGAAGAAGCAAAAGATTACAAGTCTAACTACTGATGGCTTGAATTGGTAGTCGACGACGCCCATTTCCAAGAAGTGGTCCGCAAGGTCTACGCCCACGCAGCCGACAACTTGCGCTACTCCTACCCAGAGCCATATAATCAGCATATGATAGACGCTTCAAGTCTCGAGCCCATTTGCTACATGCTCAAAGCGTCCCTCGACGTTTGTAAGCATTTCTGTCTAAACTATGTTCCAAGATGCTGCCCCGAGAAGACCCATGAGTCTGGACCTCAGGATGACATTATCGATAAAGAGAGATGCGGACCAAGGTGGCGCTGGTGCATCGTTATTGATGATGAGGCGCTCGAGAGTCTTGAGAAGGCGCCCGAGCCCATTGGGGATACATCCACCGAAAGGCGCTCGCCCTTCCCGTCTAGTATACAATGCCTACAACGCATTTGTCAAACTGCTATCTGCGGATTATACGACATTAGAGAAACCTGTACTGCTTAGTGCAAAGAGTCGCCAAGGTACAGGAGAGGACCAATGGAACGGTTGGTTCAAATTTTCGCCTTCTTTGCTTAGGCGCGTCTTTCACGAAACGAATCAAGGGAATATCGATGTTTTCTTCCGCAGTGAGGATAAACCTGTTGAGTTTTGATCTAATTCATGTGGGGTTCTTTGTATGCGCGATTTCGACGCAGCAGTTGTAGCTATAATACATGGAGGGGCAAGAGATCCTGGCACCGGTGATTAGATTCATCCTTGGGGCTTGTTCTTTAACAATACGCATTTGCCGGTGCGAAGACAAGTGAGCCAACCTTTCCTCAAGCTTGGTAGTCATCAATAAATCTCCCCGAAAAGACATATACTTCTGGCTATGAATCCAAAGGCGTGAATTGATCGAGACTACCGGATATGCAGCCTGATCAGTCACTAGATTTCTGCCTGCTAGAGTCTTGGAGGCCTGGAGGCCTGGAATCTTGAAATCCTACACTACGTCAAGATCCATCCGCTGCCTCGCCTCACCAGCAGTATCGACTGCAACAATGAGCACCCATGGGCCTAACTCTGTGCGCTCGCGTACCTAGATACATCTACCAGCCTGACTAACTGTAACGGTTTGGGCTCTGCCAAGACCTATTCTGGTACAAGTTTGGTACTGCTCTCGCTACCACACTTCGTACATCCCACATTCATATATATAGCTGCCCTCCTTCCTAGCTACTCAGACAATGCAATCCCCCTCTTCCTCGATCCTACCGTTACACTAACTAAGCCTGGAACTCGTGACCATTCCGTGTCTCCACTCACCTAGATCCTTCGGTCCGGGTTTTCCCATGACCATTTTCTCCACACCCTGATCAGACAATACTCTCGCAAAGTGTTGCGTTTCTTGGCCACAAGAGCCGCCTACGCTAGAGGCAAAAATTCAGGCACTACTGATGAGCTGGTAGGAAGGCGTATACAACTGATGCACTAAATCTTTGGAGGATCTCGCGAGGTGAGACGAAGAAAATCTCTGTATGCAAGAAATACATTTTTGTCATCACTTGTTTAATTGGGTACGTCTGGTTAGCATGCGTTCACACAGCAGTCGTGGTCAATATCCGCGGAACGCATGTGCATTGCAGTGGCGTATCGTGAGTTATTATGTGCCGGCAAATGGTCAGATTTATTATGGCGGACTTTGTAGAATGGAACCCACTTTGATTGTAAGGGTATGTGGGCGAAGACGTATACGTGCGTCGGGTGCTACCTGAGCGGTGAATGCAATGATCAGTTATTTGTAGTAATGTTTATGTATCACGGCGCCACGCGGAATTCGAATTGAAACTGATGGAGTGTTGTGATCGGTGATGAGCCGTTTGTACGGATGAACTTCGAGATAGTGGAGTAGAGACACAGCAACGAGGGACTAAAAATGGCTTGTGCACATACAGAAATTGGGTCATCATGAGGCACGCTTGAAAACACTACTGGTAACCGGCGTTGGTAATACGTGCTCTGTATTCTAGATACTGTGAACAAGCATGTGAAAGAATTTGCGACAACGAAATTAACAAAAAGACTTCCCATCAGCTAAAGGCTATATAAGCATTGTACTGGTGATCAATATTTAGCCAGAGAACCGCTGCAGACCCTGTGCTGCTGCATGTCCTTCCCTTTTGTATGTTTACAAAGGCTTTCTTGCGTTCGCTGTTCCGTCTGCTTTGAGGATTCAGTACGTCTATTTGTCGAGAACATGAGGTTTATACCTTATTGCAAAGGAACGTTCGGTCTCAGACCTCTTCTACCTTTTGTTCTTCTTCTTCTTCTTCTTTTTCGCTTTGCCCTTTGGCTCTTGCTTCTCACGCGCTTTCGCTTGATTCTCTACTTCTCCATTATTCTCATATGCCTGATTATCATCCTCTTAATTTTCATCCATCTTCTTCTTGTTACCATTCCTGTCGTCTTCGGCAGCCCGTTTTTCATTCTCAATCTGAAATCCCCACTTTGCGTTTCGATGTCTCTCAATAGCATGGAACATCCTGCTTTCTTCTTTCTCTCCGTCTTTCCACTCCCAATTCTTGTAAAGCCTGATGGCAGCATACAGCCCAGCATCTGCGTCCGACGTTGGGAATAATCTCATATCAGGCCCTCGACCGTCGAAAAAGCTTTCGGGGCTCGCGAACGTGCCGCCATTTCGCTTCTCTTCCACAAAGTTGACGAGTCTGGCGATACATGCATCACCAACCCAGATTCTCTTCTTTCCAGGCTCATATGTCTCGGGGCGTAGGTAATGATCTTGCATGATCTTGTAAATCCTAAGAAATTGAGCCAACCGCGGGCGGGGTGCATCTGGCTGTGATTTCTCCTCCTCTTGCTTAGCTTGTTCCAAGAGTAAAAGAAACATGAGGGGATACTTTTCACAATCTTTAACAGCAACAGGCCGACAAAACTCTATCAGTTCTTTATTGCACTTTACTTCTTCTAATATCGCTGCCAGGATCTCGCTGCAATTATGCAGTAGGCGAAGGAAGTCAAACTACCTCCTCACCTTAAGCATATCTATATAGCGCTGTAGGTATTCAACTGTTTTGATAGGCTGCAGTTCATCTTTGGGCAGCAATGAAAACGACCCAGCAAGAACAGTCCGCTTCGACTCACTCCAATCGAGAGGTGGATTTAAAAGTTCTAGACGCTTAGCGGCCTGTTTCGGATCGCACATGCTTGTCAAGAGCTCCTTCACCTGGGCATCTTGTTCTGCTGTCGTTTCCACTGGTTCGTCAAGACCGAAATGGTCGATGAAACAAGTGCCCTTAATTCTACGAGACATATTGGAGTATTTTTTGTCCTCTTTTGTAATATCAAGAATGCCAAGTGCCATTGACAGTCGCTTGCTGGCTTCTTTGAAATTTCGGGGAGGTCGTCCGTGAAAAATGATTTCGGGATCCTGCTGGCCGATGAAGTCTATGAACCCCCATAAAGTCAGTAAGGTGCGTCCCTAAGTGCAGAGACACACTGTGTCCCGAGACAGGTTCACACTACGGACGTCCGGAAATGCTCCTTCTTAATCCTGTCGAGATGTAAATGACACCTAATCATTCTCCAGCTACTACTCCTTAAGTCGACTTACCTCCGATACAGATTACTATGGTATTAGCTAGGCTATTAATCATTACGTTAACGTCGTCAATCGGCTCTTTAACGACACCCCCCTGTCCATTAACAATTATGCGGAGCAATTAACTACTCGGAGGGTTGTAAAGAGAGCACGAAGAAGGAAGATTAATTCCTTTAGCTCGTGATCTTATTTCAGCGTAGGAGTGAGCATGCCGGGAGGTCCGTTGTGTGAAGCAGGCGATCTGTGAAAACGAGCCCGAGCTGGCGCGACGCGCTAGTGTCTCTCAGCATGCATGGGCCTGCATTAGCGCGCTTATCCCCCACTGTATTCTATTGTAATGAATTCAGCGCTATGCCCACCCTGTAGCAACTCGAAATAGATGTGGCGCGCGCTGCTGAATTAACATTACTAGAAGCATCTAGAAACACGTGCATAGTCCTATTCTCCTACGCGCCATGCCCCTTTCTAGGCCAACTTAAAATGCTCACTGCGTACTGTCCCTAACTGCTACCGTCGTCTCAAGACCGTCGGTAGGATACATGAACAAAGTTATTCAGGCATTGACGCAAGATCATTCTCCTGGTGTTGATGCGCACCTGCCTCGAGCAGCATCTTAACCACCTGCTCGTGGCCTCCTTCTGAAGCTGCCTGCAGTGCGTTGCCGTACCCTCCACCCTGCGCGTTAACGTCGGCGCCCGCGTCGAGCAGCCTCTTGACTACCTGCTCGTGGCCTTCAACTGAAGCTGCGTATAGTGCATTGCTGTACTCTTCGCCCTGCGCGTTGACGTCGGCGCCCTTGTCGATTAGTGTCTTGACTACCTGCTCGTGGCCTTCCCATGAAGCTGCCTGCAGTGCATTGCCGTCCTCTCCGCCCTGGGCGTTAACGTCGGCGCCCTTGTCGAGCAGCATCTTGACTACCTGCTCGTGGCCTCTAGCTGAAGCTATGTATAGTGCGTTGCCGTACCGTCCACCCTGCGCGTTGACCTCGGCGCCCTTGTCGAGCAGCATCTTGACCACCTGCTCGTAGCCTCCTCGTGAAGCTGCCTGGAGTGCATTGTCGTAGACTTCACCCTGCGCGTTAACGTCGGCGCCCGCGTCGAGCAGCCTCTTGACTACCTGCTCGTGGCCTCTAGCTGAAGCTGCGTATAGCGCATTGCTGTACTCTTCACCCTGCGCGTTAACGTCGGCGCCCGCGTCGAGCAGCCTCTTGACTACCTGCTCGTGGCCTCTAACTGAAGCTGCCTGCAGTGCGTTGTTGTAGTCTCCACCCTGGGCGTTGACGTCGGCGCCGTTGTCGAGCAGCGTCTTGACTACCTGCTCGTAGCCTCCATATGAAGCTGCCTGCAGTGCGTTGCCGAAGCGTCCACCCTGCGCGTTGACGTCTGCACCCTTGTCGAGCAGCGTCTTGACTACCTGCTCGTGGCCTCTAACTGAAGCTGCCTGCAGTGCGTTGTTGTAGTCTCCACCCTGGGCGTTGACGTCGGCGCCGTTGTCGAGCAGCGCCTTGACTACCTGCTCGTAGCCTCCATATGAAGCTGCCTGCAGTGCGTTGCCGAAGCGTCCACCCTGCGCGTTGACGTCGGCGCCCTTGTCGAGCAGCAGTCTTGTAATTGTACTAAACCCCAACATTGTTGCGTAGTAAAGCGGCATAGGCACGCGATCGAGACTTCTCTCTAAATTCGGCCCTTCCCAAGTACGGTCTGGATCATGCAACCGGATCCAGTTGAGATATGCAGGCTCCTCTCTGGCCATTAAAGCCATCGTTAGCTGACTGGTTTGTTCTATCTTGTCTCCTGTTTTTCGAAGATGGCTGCTCCAGAACTCTGCTGTGTACTTTGCAAGTGCGAACGCCTTAAGAGTCTCTCTTGATAATGGTTGCTGAAGCTGGATAAGGTACTCTAAAGAGCTTCTCGTTAATGCAATCTGGCATTCGGCCTCTTGCATGCTGTACTGCTTTGCTGACCCCTGCCTGATTCTATCCGACACAAGATACTCCTGCACTGAGTAGTGCGCTAGCGCGATAATCTGTTGGGCAGGCCTTAATCTTCCGTCCGCTTCGTTCTTCGTGATAGTGACTAGACTAGAGCAGATGTCCAGCACTTCTAGCGGGTCTTCTAGCACCTCATCACGGTCGAACGCGGGGTCGCGCGCCACGTCAATAGCGACGACTTCAGCGATCTCTTCGACAGACAGCGGCCGCGCAGAGAACGTCAACCACTGCAGGATGCGCATCGCATACTTAGAATATTCCTCGCTTATCGTGGAGAGGATGCGGTCGTATGTCTGGTCTAGCGTCCGCGGCAGACTAGCAAGAGATTTGCGCAGCATCGCTCGATTGCAGCACTTTCCTAGTGTGTCCAACTGACACACAGCCCATCGGAACCTACGGTACCGTCAGCTGTAACTCTGCGGAGAACTAGGTAAAGGCACGTACATCCCGCGAGCTCCGCTCATTAGTGCAGCTTCAATCTCCTGCCTAATAGCGGCGTCCTTGTTCCATTTCGCTAAGCCCTTGTCGTCACGCAGCCTTTGTTGAACGTATCGTTGTATGTCCTTGTCCACTACGTCCCTCTGAAGACAGATAGTGTCCTCTTCCCCAACGTAACTCTCTAAAGACCTCTCAATATCTCGCTCTTTCCGGCTAGTCATAAGCAGGTGTAGGCCGTTAAGCTGCCACCTAGCCACTGTCTCAAGCATGTCCATTAGCTCTGAGCGCTGTGTACATTCATCAAGGGCGTCAAGAATAACGTAGACCTGTGTGAACTCTTGCATCGCTTGCCGTGTCACTTCTAGAAGCGTATGCAGTGACGGCTGTCGTTTTCCGTTCTCGCAAGATGAGATCAACGCATCAACGCACTTGGGTATCACGACCGAACTCTGGAGGAGCTGGTATAGCAGCGAGCGCAGCATAAGCTTTGGATCCTGTTTCTGTGTATCGTTGAAGTCGAAGTAGAAGTACGCCGTCACCATGCTAGTGTCATCATAGCAGTGCTGCAGCAGATGCTCGATGATGGTAGAGCTTAGGATCGTCTTTCCACATCCTGGGATCCCATACAGCCACAGTCGCGACGCTGCACTCTCTTTCCATCTCGTGAACTGCTCACCCTCTAGCAACCAGACTCCGGTCTTAGCCTGCCGCTGCTTATGCGCTTTGTGGTAGTTGGTAGACGGATTAGGCGCCGAAAGCCAGCTGCGTATCTTGTTAAGCTTCTCTTCTTGGTCTTGACTGCGGCCCTTATGTTTCAGAATAGCCGCGCTTCTCAGCCGCTCAAGTGCGTTCTCTTTGCCTTCGCCATAGATCAGCGGTAGGTGGACGCCGAATATGCCGAAAAGACAATACGCTCTATCTTCTTCCTCTGTTGTCTGTCGATTCGCTGCCCAAGAGAAACGCTTAGCAACGTCGAACTCGGATAAGTCGCTCCCTGACAGAGCTTCGATAGGTATGCCTGTAACCTCGTGTATAGGGTGCTGAAGCGACCCCTTGTCCCCTAGCCGCTCTCCCTCTTTAGAGAAGAACTCAACAGAGTAAGGAGCAAGAAGCTCCTGAAGCGTCCAGCCCCGCTTAAACCACCTGCTCTGCTTGAACGCCGACTTACTACCACTTTTTGAGGTGTCGTTCGCGACGTCTGAAAGGAAGACATAACACCTTTTAGCATTCTGGTACCATCGGAACATAGAGTTAATGGCTTTTGACAGTTCCGTGTTGTTTGCCTTGTTGATGCAGCAGGTGTCGACCCAGAAGTAGACTAGACCATCCCGTTTAGCCTGTTGCGCGCAGAAGCGAATCTTCCGATATCCTTCCTTGCGTTGTGTGTCGACGTCTACTGCATTGTCTAGATCTTTCAGATCATCGAGACCACCTTCCTGCTCCCTCCCAGGTGTGCGAGAGGATCGCATAGGGAGAATCTCTCGCTATGTATAATGTCCTTCGTCCATCGAAGCGTCCCGTTGCTTGCGGTGTACAGCAGTCGCATCGGGTCTTGTATATATTTGTCTGCACGAGCGGTAGAAGGAAGTCTTGGAGCCTCGAAGCAGGCTGACAGAATCGACGGCGCACGGCGGCTCGCTCACGTAGGGCGTGGAGATCGTAGCTATCAGGTTTGTTTCGAGTGCTGAGTGACGGTTTGCTAAGGTAGAGGTGAGGAAGGCTGCCCTCCTCGTTGTTGGGGCAGGCTGCATCTCCAACACCCAGGGCAGGAGGCTGGCCAGGCAGGGCTGAAAACACATGATCGCGCGACAGCCACCGTGCTGCGAACCGAGAAGTAGGTATTGCCTAAGGACGCGATCTGATAGCTCAGAAAACGCAAGTTACGGACAGTCGTTTACTATAAGAGGATGTCAAGATGTCTAAGCAGCGCGTGCTAGTTCGTGCAAGGACACACTGGCCAACTATCGTGGGGCTCGGAACGCAACGCAGCGACGATAGCGTCAAGAACGACCCGGAACATCTTAAGCGACGCATTTGTCTAACACTAGCAAGCGGTTCTAACGCGGACAACGAAATGCTGTCGATGCGTATTATGCTGAAAGCTATGTTCACGCAGCCTTCGCCTACCTAATCGTGACCTAAGATTTAAACAGGAGACAGAGCACCCTCGTGCACAACCACGGTCGGGAGCGCTTCTAGAATGCCATCAACATGCGCCACGCCTATTTTGAGAGGTATACAGGACGGGCATAGCGCCGTATTCTTTACGATAGAATACAGCGAGTAGTGAGTGCGCTAATGCCGGATGATGCATGCCAAGCTACGTTAGCGTATCCCGCCAGCTCGGGCTCGTTTTGAGAAATCTCCTGCTTCGCACAACGGGGCTTCTGGCATGCACGCTCTCGCGTCGGAGCGATCTCTCAAGCATAGGAAATTGATTATTCTAAGTCGCGCTCTCTTCATAACCCTCCGAGCACTCAATCGCCTCTTAGAATCGCTAATAAACAGGGGGGTATCGTTAAAAAGCCAATTGACGGCGTTGACGAAACAATTAATAGTACGGCTAACGTAGCAGCAATCTATGTCGGACGCTAATATTTGTAAGGAGTAACAGATATACAATTATAGTAAACTAATAGTAACTTTACCAGGCTCCAAATGGGAGGCGCCGAAGCTCCGAACCGTCAACTTGTCTCGGGACGTGGTGTGTCTCTTTACTTAGGGACGCACCTTACTGGTTGTGAAGACTCGCTTGAGGACGGCATGTACGATGATTAGAGACTTCCGTGAATCCCGCTAGGTTCTATCTCGACATTCTGTTACGGTTACTCGACCTTTACTGCAACGTGTAGGAGTACAGTTTTGACTTACTACGTGGATGTAAGTAGAAATGTTAAACGATTCCGGTCGCGCCATGACTTACCATTCCATATCAGGCCAATAAGGAAATTTAGGGAACAGGTTCTTGCATATGTTGTAGAGATGAGTAACAACCAGGATGATTCCTGTTGTACACTCTATTGTCAACGGTCCTTTTCGTAATATCTTAGTCAAGTTGCACTTGATCAGTCCACATAGAATAGGATTGTGTTTCCAAAACCAGTGCCTCTTTTGCACCGAACGGCCCATTGCAGCTTCCAGAGTATCTTGATCTTTGACGCGTGTGAGATGATACATTTCCTATCAGACTTTCTGTGGAAAGATTCTTTCCACAGAAAGTCTGATAGGAAATCCAATGGCTGGGAGATGTCTTTCAAACAAAAGGTTTTATAAGCCCCTGATAGGGGTTGAACGCTTTCCAGAAGCTGTTTTTTCTGGAGTGAAAGTCGAGTGATATCTTTTTTTGCCTCATAGAATCAGACTCCGCAACAATCAATCGGATCGGCATGATTGATTCCTATCTAGGTTAAAGGCTGCCTAATGAAGTAATTCTTTAACCTATATAGGAATCAATCATGTCAATCGATTGATTGTTGCGGAGTCTGCATAGAATGCATCGCTGATAGAGTCACCAAGAGCGTATTGAAGATCGAGATGTAGCTGCATGCCAAACGTGATCCATATAGCGACCTCATGGGTATCTCGAAGATGACGCATACCGCGAGTAAGTTCGTCGAACGATGAACCACCACAGAAATCAATTTCTGCTACGGATAGAAATTGAGCCCATTGCAAAGCTTCGAGTACTTCTTTCCTGGGCCGCTTGGAGTGTGGAGAGATCCTCGTATAACATCAAGAGCCCTGCGTGGTCGTTGGCGCTGAGAGACTGCTTAAGTGCATAGGAAAAGAGCTTCAGTGCGTTGTAAACATTATAGAAGCATAGTCGCGCATGCTCTTGACCTTGTTCGCTGAGCGTTCCAGTATGGAAGACAAGTGAAGAAGGTAATACCAGCATGTTCAAGTTATGTCCATGTTTTTGTAGTAACGGTTCGACAGCGGCGTCCCTATAGAGAAGCAAAGCAGATAAGCACCAAGTCGGATATGTCTTTGCTGGATACTTGGCTGGTCGAACAAGGGAAGTTTCCAACTCGGTTTCCTTTCGCTGGACTATACAGATAGCTGTGTTGGTCAAAAAGGCCTTTGTGATTATGTCCGTTTGATCTTGGAGCTATATGAAAATAAGATGACGTCTGAGAAGCTCGAGTTCCTTTGGGAAAGTCTTGATCTCAAGCCAAAATTCATCTTCAATGTTTGACTCATAGGTACTGATCTTGACTTTGGGAACAGATGGCATTTTCCCTAGGTCTACTGCAGTATCCTGGTCATTATCGCAAGTATCATGTACTTTCAACATGTCGAATAGATTGTCAATAGTTGTTCTCCTCGAAGGCTTTGCGGGGTTTTTCAGTTGCTCGGGTGTCATAATCCTTTGAATACACGGTCTCAGGACGTTTAGAGCATCCTGGAGGTAGTCTGCGAAAGCATCATGTTGATCGTCCTTTACAGGGTCATGTCTTGTAGTCCGATACTAGGATGTCACCTCACGTCGGTATCTGATGGCCCGGGCCAGGATAGTGCACAATTCCATTGGTGGTTTGATGATAGTAGCATTATCGGCTACACATTGTGCCATAGAAGCGAACTCGCTGTAGTGTATTGTATAACCTTTCAGATTTCCGGCCTTGACACGACGTCGATAACCACATTTTTTGACTCCTGCAGTAGATATCCGGCAATATACTTTGTATCCTTCTTGTACTCGGCCCAGTCGTATTGGATTACGTACGGCAACATGCTGATAGTCGGCCCGGATGAGCCGAAGATGAGGAATGGCTGCAGTAAACCCGGTTCAGCTGTGACCGGCTGGTATTATCTGTGGTTGATGCAGTCGGAGTATGCCCTCTTGAGAGGCAAAGGGCGGAGACAAGAAGCTTACGTCTGCAGACAGGTGAATTCAGATGATGGCAATAGAATGCAGTGGAGAAAGTGAGGGTCTCAGGAGATGGTAGTTGCAGGTACGTGCCTCGGCAATGGCGTGGGGTGACATGCCAAGCTACTTGGCCATATTTGGCTAGACTGCCATGCGGACACTCCAGACCGACCCTCTCACTCTGTTGGTGAATCCCGGCGTGTTCAAACAACCTTGGAACCACCCACGATGACGAACCTGGACATGTTGCTGCTGAAAGGCGCCTCTGCGAGCGATCCAGAGGAGGGCCTGCAAGAATTGCGCTATACGATTTTGACTAAGGGCATACCCGCTAATAGTGAAGGCATGGTACGTTCACTACATGTTCATTCGTATACATTGCAATTTGATGTGGCGACAAGCTGTGAAAAGAACTAGCTCTGACGGCGCTCTTCTGTAGTCGGAATTGCGCATATACATATGGCTCATCCTCCTCAACGCGCCCCCTCTTCGCACCGACGTCTATCTCGATCTCGTCCGCCAAGGCGCATCTCCAGCGCACGCCAAAATCCAGAACGACACCTTCCGTACATTTCAGGGTGATCCTCTGTTCCGACGACGCGTGACCCAAAATAGCATTACACGTGTTTTGAACGCTGTCGCGTGGAGACTCAATGATGCACACGAGGCTCGCGTCAATGGCTGGCAGTCACCACCAACACTATCAGAGTTTGGCGGCAGTCCTGATACATCGATGATGGGCCGTCATTCAGTGACAGGCGGAACCCGCACAGAAGCATCCACCACGAATGATGCCGAGCAGATTGGCTATGTGCAGGGTATGAATGTGCTCTGTGGCCCGTTTTTATATGCGGCAAGGAGCGAGGTTGAGGCCTTCACAGGCTTCGAAAAGCTCATCACCCAGGAGTGCCCAGGATATGTCAGAGGCTCCATGGAGGGCGTACACAAGGGGCTGGCTTTGGTGGATAGGGTGCTAGAAGTGGTCGATCCCAAATTGTATGGACATCTTATGGCGCACAACATGGAGGCTAAGATATATGCATTTGCTTCGGTACTCACCATGTGCGCTTGTACGCCACCATTACCGGAAGTTCTTCAGCTCTGGGACTTCCTCTTCGCCTACGGACCTCATCTGAACATTCTATGCATCGTCGCGCAGCTGGTTCTTATTCGAACAGATATCTTGAACAGCCCAAGGTGAGCCATTCTCTACCGTATGTGCAAATAAGTTTTGCTAATATTATGTAGTCCCAACACGATTCTACGCAACCTCCCCGGTCTGAACGCTCAGAAGATTGTCGCTGTAGCTATGAGCTTCGCCGGCAAGATACCCGAAGATATGTACGCTGAGATAATCAACCACGCAAAATGATACGATGAAAAGGAGGAAAGATTATCATGACACTGAGAATGATTTATGATCCTATAAACGTTAGATACCCACGAAGAAACACAGCAAGAATGATTCACAATATACACGATTACGAGTTTTCATTCTCATGTGCCCTCACAGCCACCATGTTCCGTTCACCACTGCTGATTGTCTCGGCGAGTTCAACATGGTCGATCTTGTCCCAATATCGTGCAGACACATGCTATGTCCTTGCTCTTTGGTCTGACTAGATCATATTACGACCCACTAGGATCGTACATCACCTCAATTTCTCTCGAGCGCCCGACATTCATGCTCCTTTAGTTATCATTATCGTACTATTGCTGACAAGTTACATCGTTCTAGATCGGTATCAGCATCCTGAATATCACGTTCACTGGGGTGCTTTTCCACAACATGTAGCTTTTGCTATACCAGAAAACCTGCAATACACTATTATCTAAGTTTACTATGATTACATCACTTCTCCCTTTACATCTCATAACTTCGACCTTTACATCTCATAACTTCGACCTTTTTAATCATTAATCTAAATTGCATGCATTCAAGACACCGTCGCTCCTACCAAGATGCCGCGAAACTGGGCGAGCGTACGAGGAATCAAATAGCGTATCATCGAAGTGAGCAGGCGCCAGTGTAAGAAGATCAGAGAAATTGAGTTGTCACACTGAAATTCTGTCCAAATCCATCTGGGAACTGCGAGTTTGTATTATAAAAGGAAATGGAGCTCGAAAATCGTTTGATCAGCGCCTTATCTATCATGCGGATAACTTGTGTCTGAAGGTATATGAGATTCACATATCTCTATAATGTTACAGTCCCCAGATGTTAAGCAATGAGGGATTGATCTCAACAACTTTCATCTTTCACATTCTGTGTAGCTTATCAATTCTAGTGTAGGTGTCTGGAGTTAAGCACCCGATGTTATCAGGTGAAATGTCACTGCCATATATATCCACACAAGTCGTTTCAGCAGCAACGTTACGTATTGCTGAACCACTCAGTATCAATGCTGCACAATTCGTTCAACAAGTGGAATTGGAAGTAGTACTAATTCGTCTATGTGCATATCGATTACACATTAATTATATTCTTTGCTCTGTCATGAAAAAAGGTATGGTTGATAGCACATAAGGCAAACCCTCCAGGTTAGTTTTGGTATGAAAATGATGTGCATACGGGGGTATCAGATAGACCCCCAACCAACCTACAGACCCCCAAGTCCACACGACTCACCGTCATCAAATACCCATCCCCACTATCCAAAATTCGCCATCTAGCTCCATCCACAGGATGTGCACAGCCAGAACATCTCTATAGCTGCCAACTCATTCACCACTAGGCCCAAGAATTCCCATCCCCCGCACCACCCTCAGCATTCCCAATCATTCGGGTCCCCTACTCTTCTCAGGAGTCACTCCACGACTCATCCTCTACCCTAGCCACCTGCAAGCTGAATCGAGCTTGCATACCGACATCCCTACATGAACCGACCCTTGTCTTTCAAGCACACCATGTCGCCATCTCCCGTCTTATCTCCTTGTTACCTACTAACCCCAACAGGTTGGGCACCATCGTATACCACGTCTACCCGCATGAAAATGACTAGACAGTCACCCCTCCCCATCACGCCGAACGGCGAGATTTCCACCCGAAGAGATGAAGAAATTGCCAGCCCTGTTTATCCATGACGAGCCTATCATGTACCAGAAACGTCATGTGGTATTTCACCGAGATGCTGCTGACATGTTATGGGCTGATTTCTATGGTTGTACTTCGGTGAACTCCGCAGAACTGCGTACATGGGTACAAGGGTTACTGTAGATAGCCGGTACCGGCTCGGTGCGTAGGTATGTGTGTGATTGACGATAGAGTTGTGCCCATAATGTTTTCCCTTAGTCGTCGTCGTTGCGGAAGGTGCGTAATTGAAAGTTCGGCGACGCTAGGGAAGCGTTGTGGAGTATAGTGTGGTGGTGCAGAAATACGAGGTGGTTTAACTACGCACGCTTTTGTCCTTCAAGTTCCTCAAATGAAGACTATCACGTACCGCAATTGATCATTCGACAGCGCGTAGAGTCTTAGTCGATGGAAAGATATAAAACGGGGTGCCTGACTGCGGATATGGTTGCGAAAGTATCTTCCAACGGAGATGAGAAGCCGTCTTTGGGAAAGTTGATAATACAACGGCGGTACTTGAGCGCTGCAGCAGAGTACAGTACCTAGGTAAGCGGGGTAACATCAAATTCGAATTAGTTGTTGCTTCTTCATCTTTGGACGAGCAGCGCTTTCTTATCGCCGGATGGGCTTACCAGTCCCGAGGCTGTTTTTTTCTTAATTAACACTGCAGTGTTGTACCTACCTATAGTACGGGTGTTGAGAGCAATGAGGCTAGCGCAGATTGTCACTAGCCACATTCCAGAACGCCTCGCAGGGCGGTGCAGACAAATACACCGAGCAGCGACGTAGCTTCCTCTACGCCGGTCGTCAGACCTTACTCGAACATGCACAACACCGCCGACACCGTATGAGCTATGGTTCGCAGCATGCACTGCATTGTGCATTCGCGACATAATTGCAAGGTTGCAGATATCGCGAGTAGGACTACGGTTTGCGATAGCCCACGGACGACTCTGGCGGGTAGGTACATCAGAAAAGCGCCGAACTCGGACGATGGAGCTGCGAAGGTCTGGAATAATGACAAGAACCGGAGGGTACATGCAAAACAGCTCATTCTTCGGAACTGAAGCCAGCCGCATAGTAGTAATGAGCGAAAAGATCGGACGGTACATTCGACAAAGTACCCGACTATGGCCAAGCGAGTAGAGACTCTGTGACATATGCGAAGGACGTCCCAGATACCTTGGAAGTATCAACCCTCAGTCTATCACTGTGGTCACGCGCGCACCAAGTCACATGGGACAGATTCTCG